CTTCCTAAAGTCAGCCCTTGCTTGTTTGACACCTTTTATCTCATAAGAGAGAAATGAACGGAGCAGGGAGGGACCTAACTACCACCAAGAAAGCGTCCCTGTGCAGACAACCTCCTAGACCCAGGGTCAGATCGATGCCAAGGCCCATGGAGATCCCCATGTAACGCTGGACCCACAGCTGTTGAGAGGAGACAGGAACCTTCCCCCAGAGCCCTCAGAGAAAGAAAGCCTTCCCCCAGAGCTGGTGCCTTGGGTTCAGATTCCTAGCCTCCTAACTGTGAAAGAATACATTTCTCTCTGTGTTACAGCAATACTAGAAAGCTTAGACAACACCCCTTTTCTAGTCTCTGTAGCTGTCTGCAGACTGAAGGATATCGCCTCTTCTGGTTCCCCCCATACAGCTGGTCTCTTGTGGTGTTTTCAGTAGAGGTCCTCGTCTTCTGTCCCGTGAGGGACTCTAAGAGCAGCACACGTTCTGCTTTCACGCGTGTGGCTCCTTGGAAGCGAGCAGATGCCCATGTGAGCAGGCCCAGCACTAATCAGAGCTACATCTCTGTGTACTGTCCCTTCTTGCCACTGCAGACCACCTATCCCAGGAGCATCCTCACCTCCCTGCTCCTCAACAGCAGCCAGGGCTCTGCTTCTGAGGAGGCTGTGCCCAGGTCAGACCCTCCAGACAGCACGGGGGATCAGCCCGGGCCCCATCCGGAAAACCCCTCCAACGGCAAGTCCAAGTGGCTGGACACCGCCCAGAAGTCCCCTCTCCACGTTGGAGACACGAGGAAAGAGGACGACCCCAATGAGGACTGGTGTGCTGTGTGTCAGAACGGCGGGGAGCTCCTGTGCTGTGAGAAGTGTCCCAAAGTGTTCCACCTCTCCTGCCACGTGCCCACACTGGCCAATTTCCCCAGGTAGGAACGCAGCACTCAGCTCCTGGAGGCCAGTGTGACGGGGCCTGCACATGTGTCCCACAGGAGGCCTTCCTCCGACGCCCTGTGCCTTTCTCCCAAAACTGCCTGTGGTGAGCGGGAGAAATAACAGGCCCTTGAAATTACCACAAGGAGTTACCATAAGGAGCAGTGGCCCTCATACCTAACACCCACCACAACTTTCTGATCTTACTGGCCAGGGGTTGAGCTGTATTGTTGA